CTATTAGCTATATTTGCAGCTTTCTGGCTTAAAGTATTTTGAGTGCATCTTTTCTGCTCATTTGAATGTCAACATCACGCACGTCACTATAAAACTAATCGATCTCATTCCCTAGACATCGATTTTTCAAAAATGTAAAAGAATCGATTCAAAATTCATTACATGGTTTTTTTTTCTTTACCCAGCCCTAGGTGACAGCAAACACATCGCACCACAGAAAATTGGATTTCACTCAGGATTCAGTAAAAAAAAAAAAAAAAAAATGAGGCTAAAATTTACATCCTGTTTTTTCAACTCAGCAGAGATCAGTAGAAGCTTTGCATATGTGTGACCCATTTTCAGTGGGAAAAGAGAGTCTTGCGCACCTACTGCCCTTGAAGACAGTAAACCCAGGGATGTCAGTGCTGTCATGCGTTCTCACCAGAATCTCCTTAAAACGCATGAAAAAGATGCACAATTTGTCAGTAGTCTGAAGAGTCGTTAAATATAGCAACAAAATCAAATTTTTTTTGGTGGAGCAATCAGCACTTCCACTTCCTTTTTTTTTTTTTTTTTAGTGCACAAAAAAATTCCAGCTGTCTTTTTTATGTAAACCTTGTGGAGTGTTACCCCCTTTATGTATATTTGTGCTATTTTCCAATAAATTTATGGAAGAGAAGAGATCACGGCTTGGTTGCAGCGTCTCTCACCGATCTCCCAGATCTGTGTCTCTGATTTATTGTCGCACAGCACTTAGCTACAAAAGTTCAGAATTCCAAACTCTAGCATTTTATTGAAATGCGCTTGGCTCGGTGAAAAAATCCAACATATTGGATTTTTGTGATTTGTGATCGGAGGGGCTCACTGTGAAGACACTCCACACAGCAGGATTATATCCACAGACATTGGTTCCTTATATATTGGAGGCTCTCCGAAGGGGAAGATCCGCAGAATCCTTTATCCTGAGATTCCTTGTCCGTGAACTGCCATATTCTCTAGAAACCAGCAGTGATGCCAGAACCTTTTCATTAAGCTCAGACTTTCACTCCATCTTTCAAGAATCTGTGCGAAACTAGAACTTAGTGGAGATAATTGTCTTCTTGTTTACTTTGAATATTTCTGACTTATTTTAGTTAGGTAGGATATAAATAGTCTTTCCCAACAACAAAATGGAAAATATAAACCATAAAGTACCCATTAGTGAGACAGTAAATCTACCTAGCAGGGGCTCAGGGAGTCTCAGTGACCCCTAAAGAGTTTGGTGTCAAAAAATACCAGTGGAGTTGTCAATCAGGTCAAACTACCTGTGTCCAGATGCGGCTTCTAATTTCAAACCTGATTGACTTTAACTGAGGTTTTGTCACGTCAGCTTTGTTCACACACATTAGCAGCCTACAGCGTTTAACCCCTCACACACATCTGTCCACAGCTATCTGACATCCAGAAGGAGTTGGCTCACATGCATTAGGCCAAAATAGTTTTTTCAAAAGTTTTTCAATCATTTTTTTTTTGTTTCTTTTTTTTTTTTTTAACTTGCAGGTCAGTTTGCAGAGAACGAAACCAATGAGGTGAACTTCCGGGAGATCCCATCTCACGTCCTTTCCAAGGTCTGCATGTATTTTACCTACAAGGTCCGTTATACCAACAGCTCCACAGAAATCCCCGAGTTCCCCATCGCTCCTGAGATTGCTCTGGAACTGCTCATGGCTGCAAACTTTTTGGATTGTTAAAGTTACAAGAAAAAAAAAGTGGTGAAAACATGAAACTGTTTAGTTTCTTCCTTTTTTTGTTAAGTATTTAATTGTTATACCCTTTGTTTCACATTATACATTTTTGCTCCTTGTCTTCTGTTATGGTTTCCCTTGTATTACTGAGAATGTCATTTAAACATGGAAGCCAGAAAGGGGGTAATTGCACCTTTCCCCACAGAAATGTCCTCACCTCTGAATATAAATAAAGATCCATTTGCTGAACATGTTTTATTGTCTCTACCGAAACTCAGACATAGTTAATTGATTATAGAGTGGGTATCATAAAACTTGTTAACTGTTGGAGTTCCACAGATTTGTGAAATATTTAGATTTTCATGTTTTATTTATTTATTTTTTTATACTACGGCCTCCCTTAGATGCAAGTTTTTATTCAAAAAATATATAATTACCTGAATGTTGCCACATTAAAACAGGCAATATTCCTAAATGTACAACCGATTTCTTTAATGCTTCCCAGGTTTTCTTACTAATTTTCATACGTTTTTCACTTGCAAAAAAAAAAAAAAACAGCTATAGATGTTTATTATGCAGCTTTGAGTTAATATTCCAATTTCTGACAGTGGCTCTTTGCATATAACTGAGATTTTGCAGCTTGCATTAAGTGCTATACATCTAAACTAGTGGGTTTTATGCTGCATATTGGGGTTAAATATAACAAAATAATACATCATATTTTGGTATTTAACTCAATAGGATAAAAAAGTTACAATAAATGCTCTGGATTTCTGTATGAGGTGAATCAAAACACAAAAATCAATATCAAATCTTTGTGTCAAAAACCTTTTAAATAATATTTGTGATGCAACCAACTGGAAGGAAATTTTTGCATTCCCTAAACGGTAGCTTTTGGATGAATTTAGAGGTATGAGTTAAAAAAATAAAATGTAGATAAAGTATATTCATATGGTAATTAATAACTGGCCAATTCTGCTCTGTCAAAATCTGATTTCTGCCTTGTTGCTTCTGATTTAGAATATTGCCAAGTTTAATTTTATTAAAACATGTACATAATCATATAAAGCATTATTTCTGTGTTTTTTTTTTAAAATATAGATTATAAAAAATCTAAACCAAAAACTGAATTCTTTGGATTGCGATGGACTGACAACCTGTCCAGGGTGAACCCTGCCTCTCGATGGAGATAGGCACCAGCACCCCTCGTAACCTCGCTTGGGATAAAGCGTGATAGAAGATGGATGGATGTATTATTTGGAAACCTTTAAGATGATAAACACTTTACAATAAAAGTAAACAATAAAACAAAGGTTAATATTAAGGGAAAGTTGAAAGGAGGGAAAAAAGTTGTGGCAGATGAAGGTACACAAGTAATTAAAAACTGTTGCCTTGTAAGGGAATTCTGAAGTTTGGAGGAATTTTGCAGGATGCGAACTGCAGCAGGAGTCTGAGCTGTATCCAGGTGATGGGCTACAGCTGTCACAGTCCTTTTGTTAAACCTGTCCTTATATCTAGAAAGGGTCAGTAGTGTGCTACCTGGGCTAAGAAGAAAAAGGACTGGTCTTGCTCATTTATCGAAGGAGCTCTTTTTAAAAGTACGTTTTTCTTTTCACTTGGAATTCAAGGTTCCAGAGTCGAGAGGGGAAGTGAGGACCCATCTCTACCACCTTTTTCCTTACTTCAAGTTTCCATTCATATACTTTGATATAGCTTACCAGAGATTGCCAGATGGAATGCTTTCAATTCAGCAATTCTCTCCTGTTCTGTGTAGTATCCCTTATAATTTATTTCTAACTGGGCAGTAAAACTAAGCATCAAAATTGATGTATAACTTCAAATGTATTATGTGATTCTGTTTAGTAAAAACCTGGTTTAGATAAATATAATTGTAATGTATTAAGATTATATTCAGATTTTTGATATGGACCTACATTAAGTAAATGCTTTGATCAAACCTAATACTAAAAAGCCTAAAAAAATTTTATTTTAGACTTTTTTTTTCTTTTTTTTTTTATAAGAATGCTACTTCATGTCTTCAAATGTTGGATTCTGTTTGCCATGCTTCATTAAGGTTCATCACAGACTGTGGAGCCATGACACGTCACTGTGATTTGTACTCTCAGGTGGGATGGCCTTCCCTCTCTATGAGAAGGCAGTGTCATTGGTACACTTTTATTTACAAGGCCCTTCTTGGATTAATGCCCTCTTACATTTGTACCTTACTTACGCAGAAAAGCATGGCTTCTTATGACAGATTTATTTGTCATTTTGTTTAC